AACATTAAATCTTAGTTGGAATAATCTTGGATCTGAAGGAGGAAAAGCATTAGCTGATGCACTTTGCAAGAACACCTCCTTAACCTTTTTGTATATTGGTTGTAATAATCTTGGATCAGAAGGAGAAAAAGCATTAGCTGATGCACTTTGCAAGAACACCTCCATATATATCGACCAAAACATTGTGCCTCAATACTTTGGTACTATGCCTTTCGACATTCGACCATTTTCATTTTATTAAAATTAATAACTTTCAATAAAAGTTTATTGAGATAAGCTGCGTAAGAGTTATATGTGTATATTGTTATAAAAAATTAAACTGATTATTTAAAAAAAATAACAATAATTTAAAATAAAAATTAAAATGAATATTTATCATTAAAATAAAATTAAACCAATTAATTATCATAAAAAAGATAATACAAGTGAAACTTGATATAAGAAAGTTGTCAGGTCCAGTCAAAACCTTTCTTATATCGAGATTTTCTTATATCAAGAGCTTTTTATTATAAAATTTTTAATTGAGACATGCAAAATCTTTCTTATATCAAGAGTTTCTTATATCGAAGATTTCTTATATTGTGAGTTATTTGTAAATATAATTTAAAAAAAATTAAAATAATTATTTAAAAAAAGATTGATTTAGTAAATAAAGAATTTTTGATTATTATTGTAATTTTATTCTAAATAAGGTTATATTAATATCTAAATTAGTAATATTAATTCTAAATATAGTATAATTAATTCTTAAAAAAAAAATATATAAAGTTTTCTTTACTAAGTATCCTAAAATAACTCTAAATATAACTCATTTAAATATATGTCTGAGTTCTTACTCTTAGCAATAGGTTTTTAAAATGAAAGTCTTTCCAGTCATGTAAATATTTTCTATTAAATCTAATAAAGATAAGAGCAAGGTCTCACCTTTAACATTAAAAAAAAAAAAAAAACTCTAAATATTAATAGTTAATTATATTATAATATATAATAATTCTATTTAGAAACTTAGTCTAATTAGAAGTTTATATTATATCTAATATATTTAGAAAATTATTAATTAATTAAATATTAAATCAAAATTACTAAATTTGAGGCTCTGTATTCAGATTAGGCTTTTACTACATCTAGTAAATCTATGTATCTAATTTTCAAAATAAAAATATAAAAGGAATTTAATTAAACACAAGCAATAATTTAATTAATATCTAATTAAATGATATATAAATTAATAATTTGTACAAAATACATTTATTTATTTATATTAAATAAATTAAAAAATTAATAAATTTATTTTAATTTAATATATATATAAATAAGAATTAATTTTGAAATAATTAATTTATTTTGCATAAATTAATATTCTAAATAAATTCAAATTAAGTAAATTATTATAATGAAATTAAATAAACTTCTAAAAATAATTTATTTAATTAAACCATGTTATTTGATTAGTATATTAATAAATTTTTTTACAAAAAATAGTGTTTAAGTTAGAACTTTGTTCTAGTTTGCAAAGTTATAAATTAGATAGTTTTATAACTAAACTTGCTATAATTTTACAACTTTACAAAGAGCTATCTAAACCACAAAATTCAGAGTTCATCTGTTTAAACGTTTTTGATTAGTCATTGTCAGACAACGTGAATCAGGTGTAGAAAAATCTTCATTTTTAGTAATAGTGCTAACTTTATGAAGATTATGATCATTGCTAATTTGGAGTTAAGATTTTTTTTACTTCTAAACCAGAGTTTGTCTGTTTAAATATTTCTGATTAGTTGTATCTAAGAAGGATAGCTTGAGTGTGAGAAAAATGTTTAATGCTTTACCTTATATGGTACTGTGGTTGAATGTGGAAAAAAAGAAGTATGGTTTAGATATACTTGATTGATATATACTTGATTGACTAATAACCTTATGATATTCGTAGTTATCTGTGTGATTGCAATTTTATGAATGTTTTTATTATGACATTCTCAATATCTTGAATTTGTAATCATTGCAGAATAATTGTTGATTCTGCATGATCATCGATCTGTGCTTTTATGATCATCTGCATTTCTATAATTATTATTTATAATCAACTGCATTTCTATAATTAATTATGATTTTTCTGCATTTTCTATAATTATTACAATTCTTCTAATCATTAATGTAACGTGATTGTTATCTTCGAGTAATAATAATAATAATAATAATAGTAATAATTAATTGACCTAGGCGTAAAATTGAGGCATCAAGGCATATTTTGACTTGCGTTCATTGAACATTTTAAGTTACATCTTGATTATGGCATTTACAGACTTTTGCATGATAAATTTTGTAATTAGATTGTTATCTGTTTGTAATCTTTAAAAATAGATATTCACATAGTCTTTACAGTTGGGAACACAAATATTAGAATTAAAATAGAAGGTACAAAAAAATGTTTTGATAATGTGAAATATGAAGCTGAAGTTTATGTATAAATAACCTTCAGTACGCTATTAAAATGTGTGAATATTAAAACAATATAAAGAGTGCAAATACGTGTAGGAAGCTATTTCTTAAATCTATCAACCTTTGCAGCTTCGTGATCATGATAATGATAATAATTTGTGAATCCTATAAAAATTTTACTTTATTTATTATTTATTTGTAATTTAAAATACTGCCGCTTCATAATTTATGCTCGCGAACTGTTAAAGATAACAAATTAGCTGATGCTATCCAAAAGCAGAGATCTTAGAGAACTCAAATATTAGTGAGCAGGCTACCAAAAACGTATAAAATTGTCTTAGGTTTCTGTGAAATAGCTACAGCTATTTGCTATATTCTTGAATCTCCGCATGTTTGTTCTTACTGTAATGCTAAATTATTTTCTGATAAGACAGAAAGTATATGTTGTATAAAAGGAAAGATCAGGTAGATTAATAATAATAAATTACTTATTAATCTGTATGACTTAACATGTTACTTATTATCTGTATAACTTACTATATTACTAACAATACTGTTGTAGATTAGCTTCGACTGAACCTGTTGCGTCTTTGATGAATTTATATACTAGATATAATGATATAGGGAACAAATTTCGCAATAATATTTATGCTTATAATAGCATTTTTGCCTTCATGTTTATAGGAGTTAAATTGGATAAAAAGCTAGCCAATGGTAAAAATGGGTTAACTTTGTTAAATAATAACTTGATTTACTAGTTAATTAACTAATATCTTACTAGGTAAGAATAGTGTATATATGTTTCAGACACAGGGCAGTATATACCACGCTATAGGTTCTCTTTACCCTAATAATGAAATACTAAAATTTTTACAATTATATATCTATAATACTGAACATGAAACTAATAATAGACTCTCTATTATACCTAAACTATGTGAGGATATCTTAGAAATAATTAAAATGATGCTGAACTGATTTAATCCTTTTGTCGCTAACTTTCGTTTGATTGCTGCTAACACTATAAATAATCTTCATCTTCTTATTAAAGCTGATTATAGCTTGGATCAATGTACATACAATAAACTAACTGCTTCACAGGTCGCAGTGATATGGATAGAAGGTCATAACCCTGTGGGTCCTATAAAGCAAGATATTGTTGTAAAGTCAAAATCACAAAGTTTGCAATATGTTTCTGAAATAAGCAGTTCATATGATCTAATGCAATATCTGTTATTTTTTTCAAGAGGTGAACATGGTTGGCATCCTGGGATATTGCAAAATACATCACAGAAAAAGGTAACTGTTAGGCAGTATTATGCTTACAAGTTACATATTCATAAAAATTTTCCATCAATGCTTCACTATGGCGGGCAACTTTTTCAGCAATATGTTGTTGACAACTATGTCAAAATAGAATCAGAACGTCTTAATTATCTAAGATTTAATCAAGATAAACTTCATAAAGAACATTACCAAGGTTTGCATGATTCATATCTGTTGGGAGTAACAAATACTGCAGAAGTAGGAACACGAACCATTTTACCTTCATTGTTCATAAGTAGTCCCCGTGATATATATCAATAATACTAGGATTCTATAGCATTGGTACAAACTTTTGGCAGACCAGATTTATTCATCACGATTACTTGCAATCCCAGGTAGTTAGAGATTACTCTGAGCTTTTATTGGGACAGACCTCACAAGACAGGCTTGTCATTACGGGTACATATATGTTTATATAAAAAAAAATTTAGAATAATTAAGATTTTTTAAAAGAAAAAACTATTTCATTATCATGACAATTGAGACTATGACATGTTTGTTATTTTGCTATATAATGTAAAATTGTAAACGAATTGTAATTCAAATATTTATACAATTTAACATAAACTTTATACCCAATTTGAAAAATACCAACTGATTAAAATAATTTTTTTTTTGAAAGCTCGAATTTTTCATGCAAAGTTAAAAAAAATAAATGAAGATATCTTTGGAAGAAGTATATTTGGTTACGTAATTGCACGTATTTATATAATAGAGTTCCAAAAGCATGGGCTTTCACATGCGCATTTGTTAGTTATCCTTTGCCCAAATGATAAACCCCATAGAGCAGATAAATATGATGCTATAATCTCAGCTGAAATTCTAGATCCAAAAATACAGCCAAAGTTATATCAAACTGTTATTTCCAATATGATGCACAGCCCATGTGGACTCCTTAATCCTAAAGCCCCCTGTATGAAAAATGGTTTTTACATTAAACAATATTCTAAAGAATTCATTCAAGAAACAAGAGAAGATGATGATTCTTACTTGATATATTATCATCATAATAATGAAAGACAAGTATTCTGCAGGAATGTGTGGTTAGATAATTATTGGGTTGTTCCATATAACCCTTATTTATCATTTAAATATAACTGTCACATTAATGTCGAAATTTGCTCAAGTATAAAATCAATAAAGTATTTATACAAATACATATATAAAGGATATGATCAGGCTGCACTCAGTATAACTAATCATGATGAAATTAGTCAATACTTAGATGGTCGATAGATTTCTGCATCAGAATCTTGCTGGTGAATTTTTGGTTTTGATATATCACATATTAATCTCTCCGTGCTTCGTTTATAAGTACATCTCTCTTATCAGCAAACTGTAATTTTTTCACGAAATGCCAGCCTTAATAATATAATTAATGATGAACAAAATAAAAAAACAATGTTACCAGAATATTTTCAAATGAATAAAGTTAATCTCAAAGCTAGAAACTATCTGTATTGTGAGTTTCCGCAACATTATGTTTGGAATAAAATTGATAAAAAATGGATGAAGTGTTGTCAAAAAAATGTAATCAGAAGAATGTATACTGTCAACCTGAATGAAAGAGAAAAGTACTACCTACAGTTGCTTCTTAATTGAGTAAAAGGTGCTACATCTTTTACTGACCTCAAAATTGTTA